TCGGCGAATTCTTACGATATGGAGCTTTCACCGCAATCTCTTTTCCAATAGTCTTTCAGCAAACGATTTATTTGTCGACCTGGTATTTAGCGAACAAATTAACCTTCGATGTTAGTTCGCAAGATGAAGGCAAATACAACTAATTCGATTGACTTCAAAGTAAAGTAAACTCGTTCACACGATCAAGTAGAAGTTGGTAGAAATGAAAAGTCCATCAATCCACGTACATCTCGATAGGATACAGTGATCCCGAATCAGAAAAAAATTGCTATTTGAAAATAGATATAAAGGATCGAGAACATTTACATGCCTTATTTTGGAGTCTTGATAGTAATACAAAGAAATGGAATTGCCTCAATAAGTGGCCGCAAAAGATATAGACGTGGTTGTAACGGCGGCTTTACATAAAAAGGGAACAGGAAAAACAGGCCACACACTTAGCTCGTAAATTAGGATTATAAATCGCGTATAGCTGAGAAAAGAAAATTTTCTTCGTGAACGACAGTTTTCGTCTCGCGCATCTGGCAATTTTCGGGTGTTTGGAAGTGTACCATAATAATCAGAGCGAGTTTACAACCGCGCCATCCGGAATAGCCAGATTGCGAACATCTCAGGAAAATGGAGAACTGCAGCGCACATGTGCATCCTATCCATAATACAATTATTTTATTTTAATTAATTTTTTTTTAATTTTATTAATTTCTTTTCAATTTTATTAATTTTTTTTCAATTTTATTAATTTCTTTTAAAGTAAAGGAAGCACATTTGCTTGCAGATCTCTCAAAAATATGCGAGACTTGTCTGTTTCAAGTAGTATTCAAGTAATTAACAAAGACTATTTTGATTAATAGTTTTTGTTTATTGCTCGAATAGCTTTAGTTTTATATATAAATATAAATATAGAAATATATAATAATTCATTATATATTTCCATATTAATTAAGATTTTTATTGTGAATTTTGTGTGTTTAATCGTTGAATACACTCAACTTTGCGTTAAAAAATTTAAAAATGTCTTGAACGAAAGTTGATGATTATATTCATAATAATTAACTCCGATTTTCCAGAATTTCTTATGGATTTTCGGTAATTAATTAATTAATTAGTTAAAGCTATTAAAATCTTGTTTGTTTCCAGATTAATATAATCCTTAACTTTTGTTCTGTACTTTAGTTTTATTATAGACTAAATAATATTTTTGTATTAGTAAGATTAGAGTACCACACACACGATTAATTTAAATAAAATTAGTTTAAATAATTAAAGATAAAAATAGTACATAGAGGGCCATCTGTGTGAAGAGGGCCCAAAACACTTGAATGAGGCCACTCCCGCATACTCCGCCCCGACCAATTAGGGATCAAATTTCGCTTACGCTTGAGACACTCCCCAAATTTTCCAATCAATTAAATTAGGAAAATTTGAGTTCTTCCTGCCCAAAAATGACAAGGAATTTAGAGTGGGACTCTCTTGCGAAAAACATAAAAGGAAGCTCTTGAAGAAAAATAGGCAGTTTTTACCCCAGTTCGTTCTAGTTCGGTATTTTATAAAAAGGACCTCCGTGTGTGTGGGAAATAAGTACAAAAAAGTAAATAAACGAATTTAATAAAAAAAACCAAAACTCTAATTCGGTTCATTCTTTTCTTTCTTAGTTTCGCGTACGGTTTTTTTTTATTTTAGATAGTTACACTCGATTGCCGAGCGTGTGGTCGAGTGCATATTAGATAGGCTCCCTGTTACGTTATTTTATTTCCAAGAGTGTGGTAAAATAACGCGAAGCACAACTATATTTCCAAGCGTGTGGTATGTATAGTAAAGCTTCAATCCTCCGTCGCCAAAAAGAGAATTTTCCGCGATAGTGGCAACGCACGTCCCGGTTATTGTCCGAAAGAATAGACCAAAAAGTGCGTCTGAGAAATATATCTCGTCAACCGACGTCACATGATTGTGAACGATACAAAAACTACAGTATTCTCAAAAAGGCAGAACATGAAGAATATAACGCTTATATTAATAATAAGACATGTTTAAGATAGTTGATGAGTAAAGCAAAAGAAGACACCAAAAAGTTCAATAATATTTATGCTGCTACATTTGATATGTAAAAAATCCAGACTACTCCAAGAGCTAATATTGGGCCGATGTACTACTATTGAAAATTCAATATTTAGAATTTCCATATATTCGATATGGCTATTCACCGGGCAATTAATAACGCATGGAATGAGATGATTGGATGTCGAGAACCAAATGAAATTACTTCCTACCTATGGGATTTTTATTAAACGAAAAAAAAAATGATAATTCAGGTATCACTGAGTTCTAGCTATTTTGTAACAACTGCGGTGGGCAAAATAAAAATAAAATTGTTTCTTGATTGTTGATTAAAGCGACAGTTACAAATAAAATGAAAATCATCGTTCTTCGAAGTGGATCACAGATAAAATACTAGTGACTCAGTACTTGCTTGCATTGAGAATAAGGCAAAAAAGCAAGAAATTTTTATTTAGACTTGGTTCGTAAAAGTCGGAGGAGTAAAGATAAGAAACCTTATGAGGTGAAAGGAATTTTCCAAGAAGACGTAAGATTTCCAAATTATGTGTGATAAGTTTTTCAACATTCAAACATCATACAAGTATCTTCGGGTAAGGATTTTATAGTTACACCGACTGCTGAAAAGAAAGTGACTTATGATTTTACAGCGCCGCTAGTTAACGTCAGCGTTTTGAAAAGGACATTTTCTAACAGCTATGTTAAAGATTATGCTCTGCAAAAAGCTTATAGAAAAACAATACCCTTGAATGAAAAGAAAAGAACGTTATTAGAACGATGATAAAAAAATATATTCCTGAAAAGCACTTGCCATTCTATAATGAAATCTTATTATAATAGAATCGTTATTTAAAATTGAAATTTGATCGATGTGATTTTAAAAAGGTAATTTTTCCAATATATTTTTGATAATGATGTAATTATTTTGATCCGTCAGTTGTACGTAAAATATTATCTTTACTACGAAAAAATACGTAAGTCTTTTAGCAATAAACATTTGTAATTTTTTAAGGCAAAATTGAAATATGTAAGCATAACATGCATGAGTAAAAGTTTCATTGAATAAACAACTATTTTACTTAACTTGATTACTATTTAATACGACAACATTTCCTCTTATTTTCATTTTAAGAATTCTTAAAAGAAATTATAGAATAAATTTAAAGTAAAAACTGTTATGAAAGGCTGCCGTATTCTCTAGTAATATTAATTGATAATACAAATTAAATTAAATAATTCTCTTGTGTGTATATGTTTAATTTTCTTTATTATTATTATATTATTTTATATTATATCTGCAGATACTGTTACCGCTAAAAATATATATATTTCAGTTTCTGTGATATTTGATTTGTAATATGCATTACGATGAAGATCTATCTTTGTTAAAAAAAATTAATAAGTAGCTGCTTTATCTATTGTTCTACTTTACAATGTCATTTTTTTCGATTTCACGCTGATCCTACATACGTTTATTAGCTTACTATCGATGAAAACTTTTCGAAACTATTTGCAATTAGAAAGTGTTAGTTTTCATCCGAAATTAGGAAAGTGTTAGTCTTTGTCAACGCGAAAAAAATGGTGCTAGTTTTCGTATGGTACATCGATTTAATGGTTAATGACATCTTTGAAAATCATCATTTAAAGACGTTCAATGATATCTTTTCAAAGACGTCATTATTTTTTATACGGTACACATTTTTCACAATACTTTTACACTTGTAAGTGTGATTTATATTAATTTACAGTGTGAGTGTGAGTGTCAAAGCGCTATTACTGTTTCTTTATTTTTGATTTTATGATTGAACATAATAAATGGTTTTCTCCTACAAATAGTTATCACTTATAATACCATATCTAGAAGTTCAACTCTCTCTTTTTTTTTATTAACTATTAATGACTCTGAATCTTGAGCATCTTTACCATCTAGAACATAAGTAGCTTCTCTCACATCATAACAGCAACAGTATAGTAGATCACATAGTGACACTTTAAAATAAGCCGTTGATGATAGCGTTAAGTATGGAAAAGATTCTTTTTAAATTACAGAGTAATTCAAAAAGAACTTAAGAATATTGGTTTTCTTTTAATTTTAAGAAAATCTATGTATCAGTTGTCACTTATCAGTATAAGAAAGGTTTATCAGTTCATTTGAATGAAGAAAAATTCATTTTTTTATTAGTATAAGCTGCTTTGAATATAAATCAGGAATGAACTCTGTATTATTTTTTAGGAACTCTAGAATATGAAATGAAACTTTACCGTTAATAAATATTCTTAAAGGATTCAACATTCAGTCAATTGCTACATGTGAAATTTAAAATGAAAATATGGACTCCATGGACCTTGTAGTATATATAGTGTATATATGTAGTATATGTAGTGTAGAAAATGTAGTAGCTTTATTAAATTTATAAAAATGGATCATTCCAATAGCTTAGTGGCTTTGTTCTCAACATTCACAAACATGTTTTTTAGGTTATACAAATTTTATTAGTAGTCACTGTTGAATTCTATAACTATTCGTATTATATGAACTGCATTTATTAATTATTACTACAAAAAACATAAATCATGTTTCATTATTTTTAATCATTTAGTGATTATAATTTGTACACAAGCATTGATCAATTTAGAAGAAAAACATTTTTAAATTTGTGCTGAAACAATTTTAAAATTTGCGCTATGACACAAAGTTCATAATAAAAATTATGTAAAGTTACCCAATTAATATAAAAAACTACTTTGTAAATCTAGAGCTACTAGTTCCATGGCATATATAAAAACATTTTTGCTTTAACTCAATGAATAAATTATTTGTTTTATAAACATTTTAGATGTATGATATTCTTATTATTTCAAAGACAAGGCCTCACAACAAACTGATAAAATAAACTATAACTGACTGAAATATTGAAAAACTCAAATTATTATAATAAATATTATACCATTTGTGTTGGCCTTTGAGTGGATTGAGAGTAAATCGGTGACATAACAGGTGATCGTTGCCAAGATTGTTGATATGATTCAGACCCGATTGAAGAATAATTGTTATGAAAACGATGACCAGGACTGCTAGTTGCTTGAAGTAATTGATTCAAGGTAGGTGTAGGACCTGTTGGTTGAGTAATATTTTGTGATGATGACGAAAATCTAGATTGCCCTGATATGAAAAAAGAATTTTCAACATAAATTTTGCATACACTGAAAAAATAGCTAATTACAGATAAATATTCAATTTTTAAAACTTCATACTTGGATAATCTGATGCTGAAATCTTAGAAACATATTCTTCAGAAAAATCTGAACGAATTTGGTTAGAAAAAGAATGAGTTACATGAACAATTGTATCTTGAGTCTCTGTTTTGACTGTTACATCTAATTGGGAATTATTTTGGTGAATTTCTCTTGGAGATTTTACTTCAGAGCCGGGATTCCCTCCAGCATCCTCAGGACGATATTGACTCATACCTGTTGATAAATAACTTCACATACTTGGAAACGGTTATAAGCTACCGTTTCGAATATTGATTGACTTGGTACGCCGTCTTTTTTTAAAGTTAATAAGTTATAAACTTTATTACAAATTATAAAAATAGAATAATAGTTCCAAATGCATAATTTTACATATTATATATACTTCATTAAAAGTTAAACCATTATGTACACTTCTGTTTTCATCTCAGACGACGGCCATTACCATATTATTTTTTTAATTGTTTGGAAAAATGAAAGGTCTCAAAAGTAAACTCTTCAATATATTAATTTTTAATTACTCATAAAAAGAAATATACAATGAGATAGTGCGTAAATTAGCCAGATAGAAATTTTGAAAATTTTGTTTTGCTTTATCACATTATTTCAAGAAATTTTTAAAATTACTTCGGTAATAGAAAAACAAAGTACCATGCAAGTCATTACACAACCATGGAATAAGAAAAAGAGACGCAATCAAACCAGACCAGAGATTAGTTGAGGTATAAAGATTGATGACACCCTCGCGAAGACAGCCCGACAAACATATAATGTAAAAAAAGAAAATCATCATATCTTATTTATTTTTAATTGTACATGATAGAAAACTAGTTATTTTTAATTGTACCATTTTAATTTTGCAAAAAATTAGCAACAAAGGGTATTGAATATTTGCCTTCAATATATTGCCTTTGGAAGGAAAATATTTAAAAAATGAAATGGCAGAAAAATTGTACCTTCTGTAAATTAAATTGTACCATCCGTAAAATAGCATAAATTTACTTAGAAAATAAATAATATGAAAACAACCAATTGACATTTATTATGAGTAACGTATCCGGAAGTACACTGTGCGCATGCAGTCAATTGGTTGTTTTCATATTATTTATTTTCTAAGTAAATTTATGCTATTTTACGGATGGTACAATTTAATTTACAGAAGGTACAATTTTTCTGCCATTTCATTTTTTAAATATTTTCCTTCCAAAGGCAATATATTGAAGGCAAATATTCAATACCCTTTGTTGCTAATTTTTTGCAAAATTAAAATGGTACAATTAAAAATAACTAGTTTTCTATCATGTACAATTAAAAATAAATAAGATATGATGATTTTCTTTTTTTACATTACATGTTTGTCGGGCTGTCTTCGCAAGGGTATTGATGACGGCAATGCTTTAGAGCAGGCTAGACGTGAGCGATAGTGTGTGTCTAGGGAGAGTATGGCCAAAACGTGTCTCCTGCGTTGATTAGTTAAGCCAGTTTTGGAACAATATGGTGTCCAGTCATGGGGCCAGTATATCTATATGTATCAGTATATCTATATATATATTTCTTTTTTGTAAATTGGTGTTCAGTCAGTATGTCAGTATGTGCTGGAATTAAATTATTGACATTGATTTTTATAATTGCGTCAACCTGCATTGATTCAGTGATTTGTGATAAAATAAAATAATTCAAAAATACCACGTACTATATCTAATAGTCGACTAATAATTTGTTAATTTATTAGAAAAAAGCTACTTTTAAAAAGTACAACTGATACCAAAACATTTGTGAACGAAGTAAACGTGAGTATGCTACAAGTAATCAGATCAAGATTCAGTTTATATGTAAATGTTTGTAAAATTCCCAAGTTTCAATTATTAAAATGTATATAATTTTCGTTAGATTATGGATTTCATATTATTTTGTCTTGACATTAGTATATACTTATTTTGTACTAATTTGTTGCATTTTTAAATGGGTAAATGTGCAGAAAAAGGATGCATTAATTGTATGAACAAACTGGTTACATGTAATTTTCCAAAAGATTCTGACAGAAGAAAAGAAAAAAATCAAACTTGAGGTGTAATGACCAATTGGCAACCACGGCCATCATCACGTTAGGGTCAGATATATAAACTTTATCTGCACCAATCAAATCAGCAACATTCCTGAAACGTTTCTTGAAAATCTGGGAACATTTCAATCAAGAGTGTCGGAAACGTTGATCCAACCGGGAAATTGTCCGCGTTCATTTTCAAGAAACTTTTTAAAATCATTTCGGATGTTATAGGAACTTAGCGGAAACGTTCGAGAAACCTTCATAGCCGATTTTTCGCTGATCCCAATGAAAATTTGTAGTTTCAGAAACGTTTCAAAACAGTCCTGAAACGGTACGTATGCATTTTTTAATCTGTAGACAAATCAGATCTACGTTTTCCGTAAGTTTCAAAAACGTTTCTTTCTACTTTCATTTTGATCTTCAAAACGTTGCAGAAATTTTATAAAACCGATTTTTAGAAAATTTCATTATTTTCATTTTTCTTGCTACTTTATAAATTATTGTACTGTGTAGATATGAACTAATTTAAGACAAAATGTTTTCTTTCTTCTTTTCATGGATTGGTATTTACATTTGCTTATAAGAAATTAATATAAAACAAAAATTGTAGCTGTCTAAGAAATTAAATATAAAAAAAATAAGATATCTCTCCAAACATCGACTGCATCTGCTGATCCATCAAATGGCATTAGTATTTGAATACGTAACTGGCCTCTGAGTGAAAAACTACGAAACGTAAATACGAATCGGAAGATCAGCTCTGTATCTCGGCCTCTTTCTATTTATCGCTTTTCTCGTATCATTTGTAGAACTTTATACCAGTAGACGCTCGAAGACTATAAAACGTATACGAACAAATTTAATTATAGTATAGATTCTCGACAATCCGATCATAACTTTCAAAGATGCAGCACTTACATATCGCAAAGCTCTGTATGAATAACCTCACCTTGAAAAAGGCAGCTTCAATTAAGCAGCTAATACGGTGTATCCAGTTCATTTTTGTTCGTCGTCATGGTCGGAACTTAGAATTACTCGACAGCCACAAGGTAAGGTTAACGAAAGTATGGGAAGAAAGCACTGACCAGTGATGAGAATCCGATGACGCTACAAAAAATTTCATTTTCACGAAATCGTATCACATCTATATCGTTTATACAGCTACGACCGAGATGCTATGGAAATGCCATCTGTGAATCTTGATCATAGTTATATAAACAATATAGATACGATACAACTTCATGAAAATAAAATCTTTTGTAGCGTCATAGGATTCTCATCACTGGCACTGACCCTGTATCTCGCGCACCTCCAGTGCCTCGCCGATTAATAAGTGAAGTTTTACAAGCTGCAGCCCCAGGCACGTTATGAGCGCATTCTCGCTTAAGTAGACTCAATTCAGATAAAAATGATATTAAAAATTTTTCATTGAATTAGATTATTAATACTTAACTGTAACTGTAATAAGTGTATGATGGAAAAAATGAACTAATCTCTCATATAAAATAACAAACGGCATAATAAGGAGCGAAATTGAAATGAATAAATTGGAATGAATAAAGAGAATGAATAAATTAATTCACAGCTTCAAATCAAATACATTTCCACTAAAAAAATTATAAGAAAATTGTTCATCCATTTTTTAACAATTACGTTTCATCGTAAGCTTCATCTTTCTCATCAGAAATATTTTCTGTTCTTATCTTTTTTGAAGGATTTGTAGAAATGTTATCTCCCGATGCATTGTTTTCGTTATTGCTAATGTTCGCTTCATTGTATATGTTGAAGAAAACAAATGAGTTTTTGATAGAAATATGAATTAAAATATAGTATAGAAAAAAATTCTACTCGAAAAGCTCTTTAATTTTTTTTGCTTGAACATTTAATCGTTTTGTTGCTTCTATGAACCGTATTTTGAAGGTTTCCTCAACATGACATTTTTTATACGTTAGGGTCATTCAATAAGTCCATGACTTCATGAAAGATTGTAATGTTATAGTAACGTATTTTACACTGTAAGAGAAACCCATCTAGTATAATTACATATACAAGGTTTCTCGTCAGTACCCCGTTGAAAGAGATCCATTAATTTTAATTTAAAATCATTCATCCTCAGTGATGAGAATCCAATGACGCTACAAAAAATTTCATTTTCACGAAGTTGTATCATATCTATATCGTTTATACAGCTTTACGCCTTACGTAACGGTCGCGAATTGACAAGAGTTACTCAAACGCGACTGTCTCTTTTCGGTCAACGCGTAAGCGCTTTACCACGGGTGCGAGACTAAAACAAGAGTAGGCTGGCAACGTATCTAAAGCACCGAGTCGAAAAGTATCAATTTAAATAATTTTACCTGTAGTTTGACTGGTCCAGAAACTCGTACGCCAGAAGCCAGAGATGTAACGTAGATACAAGAATTAGGTATAACTCTTAAATAAATTATTATAGAAATAGAGTTAAAGTATTTATTAATAAAATTACAGAAAATCCGTAGTCTTACAGAGTCGAATACAGAGTGTCTGTTACAATCGCTTTGCGTCCTCTTTTATAGTACAAAATACATAAAAACTAATCTATAAAGGGTTAAACCCAGAAGGGGTAAGTGCATCACTGAGAATAAAGTCAGCTATTAAATGACTATTACTTTATTTACGGGAACTCCCCTTTTATAAAAAAAATTCAAATTTTACCGCTTTAAAATAGTCTGACTCATTCTCGACGTAACACACCCGCCCCTGAAGACTAGCGACGCAGGACGCTCGCAAGTTGCACCCGCCTATTTGAAATTTCGTACATCAAAATATCATACTTATACTTATACCTAGTACATAACGAAGTTACAACAAATACTACGTACTAAACACAAAGTGATTTTATACATATATATATTTAAACGAGAAACACTTTAAAACACTACTTAGCACTATTTAAAGTCTCTAATTTTGGAAAGGCAAAAAACTACCTCTCCATACTACATTTAGTCTTCTTAAAAAAATCTCTTCTCCTATGTTACCGCGTTTACACATACGGCACTTTTCTCCAGATTGAAGGGCGTATTGATAAGCAATTGACCAGCAGCCCCAACAGATGATGAAAATATCCTTCGGTCTGTGCCTTAAGTATTTTAGAATACATAGTTTGCAGAAATGCCACACAGGTAAAGGTCGAGAACATTGAACACAATTATCGTAGGTCAATAAATCTGCAAAACCCCTACCTCCATATAGCAAATGGACAAATTCAGCATATGTCCTCCCTCGTTCTATTCGTTCTCCATGGAAATATGCTACCAAATAGTCTATTCATATTTGCATCTCTGCTCTACTACATCCTTCAGGTGGTCGAGGAACATATTCTACATACTGTAGTTGATCGTTTTCATATCTTAACTCCCACC